ATACTCCCCTGATTTCTTAGCCACCTCTGCCTGTTCTGATGATGATTTTAATGTAAAACCAAAATTTTGGAAGCTGAAACTATACCTTTTTTTGGAGTAACTCTACTCTTATAAGAACAATGTTATTGAATATTTTATAAATCCCCATAAGTTTTTCTTTTCTTTTCCACAAACCTGCTGAGTCACAGGTTTGGATATGATTATTTCTCAAACCTTAAATTATCTGTTTGTTTTTTTTGTCTTCGGCTTAAATCCCCAAAAAGAGCTGAAGATTTTGCGGATAAAACCATTTTTCCGAAAATTATTTTTAGCTGTCAGGGATCTGCTTGTAAATCGATCTACTGCAAGTGAGGGATTGAAACTTAAGAGGAAATCCAAACTGGAATCAACAGCAGCTTCTCAAATCATCTCCACCCCGACCAGCCAGTAATCAGTGTTACATGATTGTTAAGTTGTGAATTTTTTCTTTAAACTTGAAACTTTAGCCACCTCTTTTCTGCCACTTGGGCCGCCAAAGTTTGAAGCTGCAGAGCACAGCTTTAAGAGACTAGAGATCATATACAGTACTTGTATGTGATGAGAAACATCTTCAGTAAACTTACAGGGTAGATATTTCCCTTGACCAGATAGTGTTTCTCTGGCTTCAGGACCAAATAATCTCCTCTGAAGGGCACAATCCGTGGCTCCCGACTGCAGCCAGATATCTGTGACAGGCGGTCTGAGTACAGGCCTCCACAGGTCAGAACATAACGGCACCGCACCTCGTTACCCTGTTAAAACAATACAACTTCAACAGTAAAAACAACAGAAAACAATCTAAACACTGTGATGCTTTTACTCCCAAGTGTCTTACCTTTTTGTCTCTGACTGCGATTGGATACTTCATTCCTGCAAATCAATAACGAAATAGATACATATTGAGGTGGACTTTGAATACCTAAATGACTTCGTTGACATATTGATCGACAGAATCTGCTCATTACCCTCACTGCTCCCAGCTGGGCTCTCCTTCACCATGGAAATGTCATTGACCTCAGATTCAGTTACCACCGTGCCGCCTGCCTCCTCAAAGTCTTTGCCGTACTGGAGAGACACCATCCTCCAGTCCACAATGCCAGTGTAGGGCGAATCCAAGGCCATTATACCCTGCGAGGACGACACTCTATATAGGCCTTCACTGCCATATTTTCTTTATTTTCTTTATGAATAACAACAAAGTCTCTGAGACTCTCACCCTGCAGTATGGCTCTCGCTCTCGGATTCCCTTGGCGTCGACAATACTGAGATCACGCACGTTGTTCTTCATGCCGCGCTCGTATAGAGCTTTCAGTCTGGGTATCTCCTCCTGCTCCACAGCCACGATAAGCTGCCAATGCAGAAATACACTGATCAATATCAAGATAGACACAACACAATAATCTATGGCAACTTTTGGACAGCAGTGCTTGCAAACCAGGGTTTTTTGTTTTGCAGTTGCCAGGAGGTACATGGAAAGATTGTGGACTCGTTTTGCAAATGTTTAATGTTTAAATAGTTAGAGTAAAGGATAACCAGTTGAAAAAATTAGCTAAAAGTCATGGATAAATAGTTGCAATAGTTAGCTAAAAAGTAGTCACTTCGCTTGTTCGGTGTCCTACGTCTCAGTGGCTGTATGGAGCCGCAAAGACAACAGTTTTACTTTTACAAAGAAAAGCAAATATGCATTGTTTTGCACATTTTATACCTTACATCTGAAATAAAAAAAAGGATTCTCTAATTTGATAATGAAAATATAAGAGAAAATATATTTTGTAGACGTTTGTGTGACAACTTAAGGAATCTTTTTCAGTCATAATTTGTTTTTAATCATAAATCATAAACCCATATCATGATTTCAATATCATGAATTGTATAAAATTGTGGGTTGAGTGTCCTGTTACATCCCTAGCTAATGTTTGAAATAGTCCAAATAATAATGGATCTATATGTTAATATAAAATAGGTATAGAATGTGTGTATTGCATGAACATTGTAATGTAATGTATTTATCTGGTTAAAACACTGAGACAGACCTTTCCACATTTCTTGTAAGGGAGTCCTTTCTTCTCGCAGTACTCGTAGGCTAAAGTGGCTCCTCGCACACACAGACGGGCCTTCAGCGACCCCGGAGTGTAGTAGATCCCGCTGTGAATGACTCCACTGTTGTGCCCACTCTGGTGTACAGCTGGTGAGTTAGAAAGTGACAGAAAAATTTAAGAAGAAAGACAGAAAAGGAGGCAGCCAGCCTGCCTCTGCCTACCAGCAGCTCACTCACTCCCTCAAGTGCCCTAAACACACATTATCATCTTGATTGTGTGGTCTGTATAAAAACCTATGTTGTGGTTTTACAGGGGGTTCTGTGTTGGATTGTTTCTTAGCCAGGGGGGCAGTGACTTTCCCAAAATGTTGTACTATTCTTCTAAGGCCAGAAATGTTATTCATGGATAGCTATTTACCAAATGTTAACATGTTAAGGGAAATTACTTTAAAGACAACAAACCAAAGTCGAAAAAACACACAGGGGTCCCAAATTAGACTGGCAAGACATTGAACTTACATTAAATCTTTTATTTTCTGTTTTAAGAAAGACATTTCCTTGCGGTTTCTTTCAACATTGCAACAAGATAACATGGCTGACAATGGGTGAACAGTGCAGGTCTTTACCCAACAGTTCTGCAGCACAATAGCAAGGCTGCAATTCCTTAACCGTTAACCCAATACCCTCCAATTAAAGCTAAAACTTGGCACTTAACCCTCATAGTCATCGTCCTGGGGAACACAACTCACCTTTCAAATACTGTGTAACTGGTTTTATTACTGTGACACACAAAACATTTGCTTCTTTAGAACTAGCTGTTGTCTTCCTTCACCACAAACAACTTTCAAACCTCAACCCACCAAGTTCTTTTTCTTTCTCCAGCAGGATGAAGCTGAGCGACGGGTGTCGCAGAAGGAGCTCCCTGGCTGTGGCCAGACCCACGATGCCACCTCCCACCACAGCCACGTCATATGTGCTGAAATACAGACAACAGGGGAGGTTAGAGAGAGAGAGAGAGAGAGCAAAGTTAAGATGCTTGCACACGACCAAACAAACCAAAAGTTTGCAAAAGGTAGAAAGCAAAGCAGATTTAGGTCAGTGGTTCAATGTCCAACTGTACATGACAGCCAACAGACCTTTGAACTCATCAGTAGGGAAACATGATAGAAGTGTTTTAGTTCAGTGGTTTTCAAACTGGGGTCTCCCTTGAGAACAGAACCCCCTTTGATTGGGTTGTCAGGCGTCCTCAGTAAAAGGAGGAACAGAATATTTGAACTTTTATCACACTTTTGGGAAGTTGAAACAACAAGAAAAGAAACAGGGTTGGCCGTTTTTTATTAATTGTAATTTATAGTGATCCCAGTTTGATCAATAATTAACTATGAAGGCTTTTATTATCTTCAAACCTAAATATATATATATAAAAAAACACTAAGGGGATTCCTTAGGACAAAACCTTCTCAAATGGGAGGTATGTTGTCTAATGTGCATCTATTGTGGGAGTCCTTTGTTTGTAGTAGTTTACAGGCTATTTGTATATCCTCTGTCACAAAGCAAGTAAACATAAATACTACAGACTACTATGTAGTGGGTGGGCTCACAATGTAAGCAGCACTTTCAGGATATCAAACTTGTCCAACAACTTCCACAGGATTTTACATAATGAAGCATTTACACAGACATGGAAGAACACAATGTTCAAGCCTGGGAGAACATTTAAAAATCCTGTGCCCTCATGAACGTACAGGACATTAGAAACAGTAAACATCTTGTTTTTGTTTACAACAATTAGAACCAGACAAAGTGCTGGAAAACTCAACAGGGGGAGGAACCAATAAACTCCAAACACGGAAAAAGTGTTTGCGAGCATTAAAGCCTTCCTATCTGCATCTATAGAGGGTTCCCTGTTTAGGAGCACCTAAAGAAGCATGTGCTAAAAGTGTTAATGGAATTAAGAGAACCGTTGCTTCAAGTGTTTTGATCTTTAGCAATCAGAGACGTAGAACAGGACTGTGCGAACTTGTAAAAACTTGTACAGCTGTTCTTGTTTGAACCTGAAGAACATTTAATCCATCAACCAACCTGTGATTATATTTAATGGCTTGCTGGTCTCAAACAAAGTGAAGAAGTTACCCAATTGTTTGGAATCAATAACCTGAAGTTACAACATCTATATATCACAGTTTACTTAAAGCAGGCTGGGGGACGGGCTGAGTAACAATCTGTAGTTCTAACACATTCTGCTGTCTTGCCTTCCTAAAGATGCAATTCACACAAAACTAGTGACTGACAGAGAATAATTTGTCTTTTTTGAAGGACTAAATGTGCTCTGACAAATAAAAGCTTAAAAAGGCATGCACATGCGGATGTAGCATGCCTGGTTGGGGAGGCACAATGCAGACATTTTGTGTATTTAAACAATGTGTTGTGCAGAGATTATGCAATCTGCTTCTCGGTGCACGAAATGTCCTTAGCAGTGACTGGGGCCAACTAAAAAGTGACTTGGAGGAGGTGCCCGAGTCTGCCCCCTTTGTCTGTCCTGTGAGTAAAGTTATAAAGCATTGAAACAAGTATTCACTGAACAGCACACGGTTAGCAGCAGCTCTCCTCTCTGCTCTGTAATGTCAGTCTCACCTGTGCAGCTGCCTGGTTGTAATGCCCTTTAGCAGTTTGGGTTTAACTGCCCCAACAGCCTTAAAAGAGCCACCAGTGAGTGTCCGGATCATTATCACAGCGTCTAACAGCCCCTCACAGTCGCTTCTTCATTGTACAACCCCCACAAACACTTCTCCCTGAGCTGTTGTTCTGTGTTTTGTCCCTCCTGTTGCCTCCGGTGTGCTAACCTCCTCATCCTGCTTTCCCTGAGAAGAGACGTGGCCACGCCCTCCCCTCCGCGACGTCCCGACGTTCAGCCAATGAGAGGGCACGTTTCTTCCCTTGCGTCACTAGGTCAAAGGGTAGTCCCAAATGTAAACAGTCGGATCCGTCGGAGGGCAGGGCAGGTGAGGTGAGGAAAGTGTCCTGTGTCGCAGTCGTTCATTTAAAGCGTCTGAAACAGTTTGTGCAGTTTAATTAGTTTGCATTTGTGTTTGTTGTTTGTTGTTGAGCTCAGATAATATGAAGCTTTTGTCGAGGGCGGTGCAGTCTGCGCTGAGTCCGAGGGAGTGGAGCCGCAGACACTTCTGGGGCTGGCTCAATGCAGTCTTCAACAAGTGAGACAACTGATTACCTGGAATAGATTAAGGACATGCATGTGCGAGCTGGTAGCTACACAGACATGCATGTAAATACTATGTAGATAATCTATGAACTGACAAAGCACTCAACACACACATAACCTTATAAACCTGCTTACCTGACCTATTTCATGTTTATATATTATTATTGTTATTAATATTATGTTCACTTTTTGTTGAAACAGCTTTTACAAAGGCCTTGATTCAACTGTATGGTCATTTAGAAGCTGCAGTTTTAAGTATTAGCATCAAAAAGGACTTAAAGTATTAGGTCACCCTTCACCAAACCACTACCAAATCATATACTATATTATCAGATTGTTATCACTATAACGTCACTATTAATGTGCCATAATGTATATATGTAGTTCAGTACATCATTTTAGGAATTAAGGTCATTTATTTGTCATTTTACAGCACAGTGTTGCACAATGAGATGTAAGTTGTAGCCCCTTCATGCCACAAACACATAGAACCTATATACAAATATTTAAATATAACAATATATACAGTTATTTATATACATATATAATCTGTACATGTATAACAGCAGCAACAAGATAGTGTTAATAATATGTTCGGCATCTTAACATTAAAAACTTGACATCTGGGGAACCATCAAGGACATTTTAGAAACGTAGCTTTTTTATCTTTTAATCTGGCAGAAACAATATTTCATGATAATATTGTTTGACAAAATAAATTGAACTCGAAACTTAAAAAACAATTACCTCTGTATTGACAATGTAGAGATATTTTGGTGATCAATTACAGGCAAAATCTTCCTAAATAACCATCAAACCTATAGTAGAGAATACGATTAACCATTTGACTTTATATGATGCTATATGGTCGGAAAATGGTACCACAGTTAGTTGCCTTTACAACTAGAAAATTACGTTCAGGTTAGCATTATGATTATAAACTATAATTCCATATGATATAATGTCATATTCACAATATTGATATTTTATCCAGCTCTTTGTTGCTGTATGTTGATTAAATGTATTATTGCCACAGAATTTCAGGTTTTTGAGCTGTCACAAATCACAAATAGGACTAAAATGAACCATTATTTCTATAATGTAATTTAAAGTTTTTAACACTGTAGTCTATAAATTGTTCAAAAATATGAACAATCCCCATCACAAGATATCAGAATCCAATGCACCCTGTGGTCTTTTTATTTTTGACATTACCAAAATATTCCCAAAAACCTTTTGTCAACTTTTTAAAGTAACAATGAGCAAATATTGTGTTTTATTTGATAAATAACCAAATAAACAAACAGTGGGTGATATCCTCAGGTTCAAACAACTGGCCTGGTGGGCAGGTTGCCATTTGAACTTTATCTATTGTAACCCTCTTGACCCTTTCACCACCAACCAAACATGACGTATATCACGTCACACGTGAGCAACGTGTACCGTACTTTGAGCGTTTTTGTTGATCTTCACTCAGGGTGGACTATGAAAGGATCAAAGCTGTTGGTCCGGACCGAGCTGCAGCAGAGTGGCTGCTGAGATGTGGTGCCAAAGTGAGGTTTGAAGGTTTCGAGCGCTGGCATCACGACTACAACGCGCTGCCAACTGGACCTCTGGGCAGGTACAAGATCCAGGGGATTGACGCCACCGAATCCTGCATCATGTACAGAGGGTTTGACCACCTGGGTCAGTGTTACACTACTGTAAAATATTACCTTCTTGTCCTTGTGAATTGTCCCACTCTCTCATTTACAGTTCCCTCCATATGGTCATGGATGTTCTCCGCTAAATAGATTTAACACAATTTAAACTCTACAGCCGTACACCCAGTGAGGCTATAATGCTCATTAAACACCAGATAACGCTATAAAGTTACCTACTGCAGCTTTAACTTGATAATATTCCATAATTAAGGTCCTGTTGGTCAACAAAATATATAAATAGTATATTTATGTGTTTATAATATATTTATGTACAGTAAAACTATTGAGACTGACTTTTCTTGTGTAATATTTAGCATGCTATTGTGAGCATGTTTAAATGCCAACATTTAGCATGTACTGGTTAAATTTCAGCCTGTTAACACACGCAGTTTATAGGGTTATACTAACATTAACATTAACATTTCAGTGTAACATGTTAATGTTAGCATTCTATGTTACAGGTTAATTTACAGCTGGCAAATCCAACAGATCCTCATTCATTTTAATGACTGAGAATAATTTGACATTTTAAGATACTAGTGTCGCTATAATAGAGTTACCAGAGTTTCTATAAGATACCATTACATACAGTTTATTATTTTTTTGATACCTTACTTTGAGAAATATCAGAATGTTTATCTACAAATAATGAATGATGTTGATGCCAGCTTCTTCTGATATTCTGTGTTACAGACATATTTCAGTATATCAGTACCAAAAAACTGTCTGACCTGTTGGTGGCGCGAGAATAAAAGTCAGGAGCCCACCAGCATCTTTAGGTTTCATCATCTGGCAATCCCTCCAATAGTCAACATATTTCACGCTGAACTTAAGTGTTAGATTAAAAGATTAATGAGCTGATTAAAAGCCTGTCTAATCAAACATTAAAGCCATGTTCAGAAAGTGTAAATTTTGCATCAAGCATGTTAACATGAGCTTGACCTCGAACGTTGACCTGAAAGTGATTCCTCTCAGTGTTAACAAGAAAGGAAAGGCGACGGTGAAAGTACATCTCTCCCAGACTGATTATCAAAAAGTGACGCAAGCGAGCAGGATGTTTTACACTGAGCTGGCACACGGATGGTGTGGTCTGACCCGGTTGACTGCTGCTCTCCGAACTGTGTCCACACAAATGTATTTTGGTGTAAAGTCCTTCTCTGCCTATGTAAATATAGTCGGTTAACAGTGTGCTGTGTTTTTTTTTTTCTAGACGGTTTGAAATATTTGGAGGAAATCAAGTTCAACAAGTGTATCTACATTGAGGACACCTGCCTGGAGAAGTTGAGTTCAATAGAGAACCTACAGGAGACTTTGTTGATGATGGAGGTGGTGTCGTGTGGGAATGTGACTGATAAAGGCATCATCGCCCTGCACAAACTCAGGTGAGAGTTTGTTTTTATATGTTTTTATACATAAATATGTTTAAATTACACTGATTTGTCCTTTAATGTATTAATTCCACACAGGAATCTGGAGAATCTGTTTCTCAGTGATCTTCCTGGAATCAAAGATAGAAATACGACAGTTGACAGACTGCAGACGGCACTTCCCCGTCTGGACGTAGTGCTGGATCTGGACTGATGGAGAAACCACTTCCTATTTAAGATTGTAAAATAAGCATGCCTTTATTAAAAGGTTTTCAAAGTAAAAGACTCCATTTTGAAGGAGGACAGACTGCAGCATAAGGGGCTTTGATCGTTCGACATGTAGATCCTTCAGTTAAACTTTTAAGTGTATTTACATGTGAATCATTACGTTTTTGTTAAATGAGAGAGTGGAGAACAGCAGCAGCGTAATCGCTCCTTTGCTTTTGTACCAGGATGTACTTTATCCAGTAAATCTTGAGATTGTCTTGTGTTGCACATAGAAAATGTCACTCACTGACTTCACGCTGATCTTGTTAATAGCAACCACAGTCGAGTAGATGTTTTATTTAATGGGGGGAATATGTTTGTAGTATTGTTGGAAAAAAACTTCAGTTTTAACTCTGTTTACGAATTAACCAGGATTAAAGATGCAGTTTCCTGACAGATTTTTATCCTTGTCACTAAATCCAAATACCAAAAAGGGTGAAAAAAGTGCAATTAGATTAGCAGTTTATAATCAGACAGCATTTCTAACAAGTCCCTTCAGGATGTCGCAGGATTTTTGGGGGATTGTTGCGACTTAAAATGCCTGATTTTAAATGCAATTAAATTGGGGGAGAAAAGGAGAAAAATCGCAAAAATAGTTTTTTTGTATAATTCATTCAAAATATCAAAGGTAACTCGTCCCAGAGTTTGAAGTATTCTGAGTAACCAAAAAGGCTCATGATTGTGAGGTTAGATGTGAGACATTTGTGTCACACATGTTCTCATGATCTGCATCTTCACAACCAGAAACAAGGAAGTGGGTTTGGTAACGTATGGCTCAACGTTTTGAAACTACAATGATTGGTCAAATTTTGTGGAAAAGAAGAAAGAGAAAGAGAAAGAGAAGAAGGAAGAGAGAACAGCAGCAAGGTTCGACTTCATGGGAAATTTTTCAAGTTCAAGCTTTAGAGAAACACTCCAGCAAAGAGAAGCATTAAAGCACTTTATATTGTTGACACCAGTTTTTCTTTATGGAATTAACTATTCAGTAGTTTATTATAACATTTAAAAGGTATTAAAGATTGCTCTACATGTGAGTACACAGAGAAAATAATTTGTGAAATGCTGAGGACTTCAAGGATTCAAGAGTTTAAATCATTTCCCTTTAGATTAATTTGGCATTTGTACAATATCTGAGGACAGACAGATGGCTGTGAACATCCTTAGCACCAAAGTTGTATAAATGAGTACAATGTGGTATTGTGAATGCTATATGCTAGTAAATGTGGGAATGTTTACAACTGTATTCACTCCTGACGTCAATAAATATTTTCAGAAATGATCATGAGTCGTTACATGTGACGAAAAATAAAGTTCGTGTCCTACATTATAACTTATTCCAGACAATTAAACAACATAAAACTCTAACAAAAACATGTCACTCTTACAGAGTCCGTCGCTATATATAAAAAAAATACATTTGGCAAACCAGGCAAGGCAGTACGTTGTAGTTTTACCTTCAGTCTACTCAGTGACTATCAGCAGAGCAGCACATCGCTCCTTGTCTTTACACATCTATACAAAATACAACAAAATCAGCTTGAAACGTAGGCAACATACATGAACCAACATGTTTGAGTCCACATGTTGGGAAATAGTGCATAGACTGACATCAACATCAAGAGACACCCGACACCCAACGTCATGACCAAAAACTTTAAAAAGTGTTTGAATTCTTCTTGAATGCATTAAACACCAAGGTGCTAGCAGGCTTCATTTCCTGAGTTTTTGTTGAGTTTTTTTTCTCCAGAAAATGCTGCTTCTTTGACTGTGTTTAATTCAGCTCGTGAGTTTAGATGTTCGGTAGGTGGTAGTTGAACTTGCGCAGGTTGTTGTAGTACCTCTTGTTGTCCACAGCTGGAAAGATGCTGCTGCCAGTCAGCTGTGGCAAATACTGGATGGAGAAAGAATAACGTTTCAGGGACAATTTTGAGAGCAATAAAAGTATCTTTACATGGATTTAATTATCTGACATGTTAGTGTTTTGAAAGTGCTTCTTTTAGGTGTAAAATCCAACTAAAGGGGTGCTTAGGGCCCTAAAATCTGGCATAATGAAAATTATTAGTTTATAAAAAATGTTTAAACTTATAATAACTTTCTCCTTTTTAACTAGGATTAATGTTTACACTTATATTTGTGGCAGGAAAGAGGGTTTGCCTTATTTTTTTTATCAGTTTAATCCACTAAAAAGTTATAAAATTAGTGTAAAATGTTGTTCATAACTATTGAATAGGTTATAAATTATTATGACAGTATGACATCATTATATACAGACATTATCTTAGCACCCATAACTCTGACTGTGTCCCTAACCCCTAAAAACTACAGAAAAATAAGAAATATAGTGACGTAAAGCCTGATATTTCTCTTATTACATCAGCTTAAACGTCTTAGGAAAAGTCAGGGAAAATGTTATGTACTAGTCCATCTGCTAGGTTGAGTACGGATTGCACACATTTTAAATACACCACATTCCTAACAACCTCAACCCTTTTTATTTCATTTTTGTTGGATTCATCACCACCATAGAGTGTCCTGGAGTCCGGTGTTACCAGTGATAAATTAATTACTCTGTTCCATTCAGGTCAAACAGAGTCAGTGCAGCTATTGTGCTTGTTGACTCATTAGAAAGGCTCTGCTGCACTAAAACAAACTTTAATGTCATTGGTTATACCGGTCAATATAGTATGCCAAACCTTAATGAAGTTATGGGTCAATGTATGGAAGCTGCTCATACCCAGAATTTATTTCCAAGAGAACAAAATTTTGCTTGCAAATTTTACAGATGTGAAGATGATACTCAATTTAAAAAAAAAAAACACAAAATATAATTAACCTAAATATGGCAGCATACTGACTGGTGTTTAATCCCAATCATTACTCTTCGTGCAGAAGGCTACTTACCCCTGGAGGAAGGTGTTTGCGAGGTAAACGTGTCCTCTTGTTGCCGGAGCGGTCATGCTCTCGCGAGGTGCTCTCGCTCTTTTCCCGCAGGCTGTCGAAGTACGGATGTTGGAGAAGCTGCTCGCAGGTCAGCCGCTCGGACGGGTCCATCCTCAGACAACCCTAAACAATCAAAACCATCAACACTGAATGGGAGACAGTGAAGGTCAGAGCCAGACATCGGAGATCTAGTTTTTATTTGAGTGGCAGCTCTCAGGAACATTTTGTGGAAAGTCTGATTATGGCCACAATTAGAGTTAGAATACAAGTTCTGATTAGGAGTAATTTAAAGATCTTTGCCTTGAAGCAGGGTTTTTAATTACCTTTTTTTCAAATAAATATATCTTCAGACAGTAAAAGAAATGTATTAAAACATGCATATTTTACAGGATTAAAATACAAACTTTAATGTACAAAACCTGTGTACTCTGTTAGAAATGTATTCAGATTTTGACTGTATGTCACAGATTATAAGATTACAATCTCCAGCATCTCTTTGTTTTAAAATTACATTATTACCTTCATGAGACTCAGAGCTTGATGTGAAAGATTTGGATATTTCTGCTCCAACGGCTCCTGCAGAAAGAAAACAAAACAACAAAGACTCAATATGTTTTTGACTTTTCATTACTGAACCTTTGTGTGCTGAGTGAAGGCTGTAGGATGTAGATGAAAACTTGTGTGACGCAGGCAGATGGCGCACATGTGGACTGACTGTGTAGTGTGTCTCACCATCTCTTGTGGCTCCGGGATGGAAACTCCACAGAAGAACTGGTTGTTGCTGAAGACCTGCTGGTGTCGAGGGATCAGATCTCCTGCAGAGCACGAGAAAGATGAAGATAACAGACAATGAATCTATTTTAGATGGGGTTTTTTTTAAATTAAAGTTCATAGAAATTTTACAATTTCATCCAATCCTGGGAAACATTTTCAACTCCCATAACCAAGAATTTCCTGACAGCAGAAAGATGTTTTTTTTGCTTTTTTGATGTTTTATTCTCACATATTTAAAAAAAAATGTGTCTGTGATTATTTGCTAATTGATGCACAATTTCATGTTTTATACTTTGTAATTAATTGATGTTAATTCTTTATAAATCTATAATTATAAAGCCCCGCTCCCTGTTGGTTTCAGAGCTTTGTGAAAGAGTTGCTTTTTATGTTTTCTTTATATTTAATCCATCTCACCGAGAGTCTTCCGGATCAGGTAAAGCTGGTCCATGTCAGACTTCCCGGGCCACAGAGGGATCCCTGACAGCAGCTCAGCGAACACACAACCAATCGCCCACACGTCCACCGGAGGGCCATACTGAGTGTCTCCCACCAGCAGCTCAGGGGCCCGGTACCAACGAGTCGCCACGTAGTCTGTGTAGTAGTCACATGGACCAGCTGATGGCACAAAAACACAGAAGCATAAGTGAGTGTGTACAGAAAGAAAACGTGTATCGATGTGTAATGACAGCCAAATATGTCAGTGTATTCGTCTCTTATATAATTAAGTTATTTTCCCGATCACAAGTATTAATCAGAATTTGTTCAGTAATATAGATACTTTATGTGTACATCATGTTTTAGATCAATGGCTCCCAATGACTCCTCGTATGTAACTATGAGCTGTAAGCAGCAATTTTTCCCTTCAGAGATTGTTAGATTTTAATATTTTGTCTGGCTTAAAGAGGTAAAACTATCACTTTTTACTCTTTTTACTATAATTACTATAAATTGGAAAAGACATTGATTAAGTGCTGCTTTAGTACCAATACATTAAACCTTCCTTTCAGTAAAACCTGAAACACACAGCATGTCCACCAGGTGGCGCTGTCAGATATGTATCAGCTGTTGATAAAGTCTAAAAACTTACTGAGAATCCTGGCAAACCCAAAGTCACAGAGTTTGATGACTTGGTGTTTGGTGATGAGAATATTTTCCGGCTTGACGTCTCGGTGAATGCACTGCAAGAACAGAAACAGTCCAATTAAATCCCTGTTTTTCAATACCGTCTTCAGATGCTTGTGGTTGTGACACACTGAAAATAAAGTGCGTGAATGAGTGAGAAACAGTACAAGGAGAGAGAGAGGGAGAGAGTGCTCTCTGGACTTCATGCAGCCCTGTTAAATAGGGGCCTTGTAGCATTTGTTGTGTCTAGGTGATACATTAACTGCTGGTCAGCCAAGGGGAAGGAATTCTTGTTAAAAAAAAAGAGCCATAAAGCAGTCGGCCTGATAGGAGCTGGAGGAGGGAGGAGACCAGAGGAATTCAAAAACAAGCTGAAGGGGACGGTTTGACAACTGGAAAAATATTCCACATGAAGTGACTTACGTTTTGTTTGTGACAGAAGTTTACAGCTTGAAGAGTCTGCCAGGTTATACTCTTCACAAGGTGCTCGGGAACGCTGCACGACAGGAAAGAAATCAAAAAGATTAATTAGATTAATCAGTTGACTGATGAAGAGAAGTTAATGTATTTCAATTTGAGGTCAAAGATTCAGTATTAATGTTGGAAAAAAACACATTATTATTGTTCCAACCAGACTATTTGTGTATGAACACACGTCTGGAGGAGATCTTAAAGTAAAAGCCACAAATGTCAGCCTCACGGTGGCATTAGAGGAAAAAACCATCAGATCAACAAAGTCAGTGATATTCATCCTGGAAACAAAACTCTCCTCCTTTCTTGGTCTTTTTTTGCTGTCATCTCTAGTTTTCCTCAGCCCTGCTCTGTTTTTCAGAGACCTCTTTCCCCCTCAGACAGCTGTGAAGGACAGTGAGCTGTCCTGCCGCTTCCAATGCGCCCGGATGTTCAACACTGAGGCTTTTGTTGGTTCAGAGACCATCATCTGTCAGTGTTGCCGGGGAAATGGCTAAATCGAGCTTTGTGACTGGCAATTAATAACAATCCCCCCCCCATCCTCGCCACTTTGTTTTCTCTTCTTTTGAACCGCCTGTGTTCAGGAGGCTACAGGCCAGGACCAGAAGGGGAAAGCCGGACAGCGAAAACACTCCGTATAAAATGTGGCCGAGCCTAAAGAGTCATGACAGCTCCCCCCACCAGCAAAGCATTCTGGGTGAGCATCACTGTAAACATTCCACAGTGAGCAGGTCAGCTTCCTGGGAGACGAGCGTTGTGCCCGTCGCAGCTGGACAAAGCGCCGAGTACGGTGTGGTATACGTGTAATGTAGAGATAATAGAAAGTACACAGCGCTTTGTTAAATCCAGAGCCACCGTACTCAGATTTATGCTCTCATTATCTCAGTGTGACAGAGCTATATGAGTATAGTACACTGAGCTGTGTGTTCATTTCATATAATTCAGAACTATAGTCCTTAAGTAGATATATATTATTTTTATTGCACACCTTTATAAAGCTTATGCTGCCTGGACTGGACACATACGGCTGTATTTTATGCATAAAACCTTTTGTTATATGTCATTTAAAGTTTATTTTATTCATTTTGTATTTTGTGTTTCTTGTTGTACTTTATGTCTTTGTGTTTTTGTTTTTTAGTGAATATTCAGACACGTGTGTATGTGCAGGTTGTTTAACGGCTGACTAAAACAAACAATATTTGAGATATGGCAAAAATGTGCAAAATCAAAACTACTTTTACACTTTGGGAAACAGCAGTTAACAAAAACTAATCTCACCACCATCTAGTAGCTATTACAGAGATTTCGATTGTATCACATGATCCTTAGCGGATTCAACTTTTAAAGTCTTTAAATTGTCATAAAAATGTATATTTTAATGTCCGTCTAACTGGGCAAACTCCCTCCGCTGATGACGATCAATTGAGCGACAGGCTGAGTCAGTCTTACGTTAGTCACTCATATGGAAGTTTTACAGGTACATTTAAGTGTCTACAGTAACTCTGACTTAAAGTTATATTTAAGTCAAAGTGTCAAGTGTCAGTGCCATTAATATTTTTGTTAATGCTGTCCAAATATTAATCTGTTTCTGCATCTAAAAACTTTCTTTTATTTGTTGCATAAGTGCCTGAAAGTGCTTGACTGCAAGTTGGTGATTTTAACTCTCTTACTCTTCCTTCATATGGAATATTGTTTGTTATTGTTAATTCTTTAAATTGTGTGTTTCATGGTGCATCTCTGTAACTCAGTGAGTTAAAGCATATAAACATGTGGATGGATGGATTTGTATTTTATTTCATTAAAACTTCCATTAATAGCCTTTTATTTGTTTCAATCACTGAACCTGCCTATATATGGGACAAAGAAAAGATGGGAAATACTGTTTATTTAAACCATTATAAATATGACTTAATTTGATCATTTGATGCTTTGGTGCTCACGGTGTCTGTAAAATTAACTGAATGATTAAAGTGTGGAGAATCTAACAGATCTAATGGTCCATATTGACAAGGTTAAACATTTATATTTGTGTACGCGATCTAAGCAGCTCAGAACTCAAGCGGGCGACCCGTGGGTTTTATAAAGGGGACCCTGCTTTGACTTTAAGTGTTACAGTATGTCATTTAACTATCTATCAAAGTGCACACACTGCTTTGCTTTCAGTAAACAGTCTAGAGACACACCCACCCTCTGGGATGGCGGTCCAGCTCGTTGAGGACCGTGTGGTCGCAGTACTCGAACACAAGGTGAAGCTTCCGTTTGCGTCGGAACACCTCGATCAGATTCACCAGGTTGGCGTGTTTCAGTTGCTGCGTGGACACAAAACACACGAAAAACACAAAAAAACACGTCTTAGCACACACACACACACACACACACAGAGCTGTTTGTACATCTAGAAAAACATCCACACAAAACACAGTTAAAACTAAGCCGCTGAAAGCAGTTTGGAGAACTGTATCATCTGTGGTTTGCTCTTATCAAACAGAACTGTTAACAGATGGTAATAAACATGCTGTTGCCCCTGACAACCTGTCCCCATCCTTGTCCTATTCATGAGCTCCTGGTGTCCAGCAGGCCACTAACACTCCCACCCACCGCATGACTAATTAAACCACAAACAATTGTACCAGTGCATCTTTGATAATTACTGTGCAACATAAAGCAAACAGGCAACACAATTAAAAGGAAATGTTTGCTCTCTATCAGCCAGGCAACACTTAGTGCTTTAAGATTAATTCATTAACAAGAATATTTGTCTTGCATCCAGATTATGAGCTGAAACCAGAGTAGTGATTTGATCCTGGTGCCAAAGTCTTTTCACTTAAAGGCTGTTTCTTATGTGCTGTTATTACATTTCCCTTTCTGATTTAAGGACTTTGGCCAGCACTGACACTGCAGGGCTTTTCCTTCGTTTGATTACAACCTTCTGAACCTCTTTTGAACACGACTCTTTTGAATGAGAGTTTCACTGCGCAGCGGCTACAAAAATGCTTCCCTTTCTGTCTGCAGAAGTAATTGCTGGTGTCCCTCCTGCTGGCTGCACAACAGAGGAGGAAGATTAGACCACGTATTTCACGCCACTAAAAACAGGATTCGAATCACTTTTGTTTTTTTGTTTGACTGTGTGTCATTAGATAATATTTCCAGGGTGGAATTATATTATAATATATAATGTAATATAATTATGAGAGCAGACTTGACTCTGAGTAAAGAGAGAGTAAACTTTTTACATGTTAAGGTGTTGTTGAAAGGTTAGAGGTTAATTTCTTTAGTTAATACAAACTAATGTGATTCAGTAATATAGCATATTGCTATTATGGCTGATATTTGGATTAGTTGTTTGCATGAACTCAAAGTTTCATAAGAACTTAGTATAGAGGGCAGAAAAAGAAAAAGAAAGTTAGTCATAATAAAATAAAGTCAAATTTTGTGATAAAATGTCAACATTTTGACTTAAATTAAGAGATAAAAAGTTTTTATCTCATAATTTTGACTTATAAGTCCAATTTTAGACTTCTTATCTCACAGTTTTAAATTAACAAGCCACATTTTGACAAACTAAATCAGACTTTTTCCTTTGATTTAATAAGGAAAATGTAACTAATTTTGACTTTTTAGCTCATAATACTGACTCAACAAGCCACATTGTGATGTATTAAATCATAATTTCCACATACTATTTCACAATTTGGACTTTTCCCTTTCATTATTTTGACTTAACAATCCACACTTTGACATACTATTTCATAATGTTGAATTTTTCCTCTCATATTTTCCTTTTAATAAACAAAAATTTAACCTACTATCTTATTATTTTTACATTTTCTCTTATAATTATGACTCAGAAGGCCAAAATTTGACTTACTATCTCATAGTTTTGATGCATTATTTTAGAATTTTGACTTGATAAGTAAAAACTCAGTCTTTTTATCTCATAATTGTGACATAGGATTAGCATTTAAAAGCTATACTAACATTTCCCTGGCAGAAATGAGCTTCCATAAACTGGTAAACCTGGATTGCTGCTTTAATATGAGTCCGATATGAAGGACTTTAATGGTAAAGGAACAACAGGGTATCAAGGTTAATAAAGTGCTGTTACCTTGAGCATCCTGATCTCCCTCAGTGCAATCTTTTTGATGATGGGATCGTCCTCTGACTCCACAAACTTCTTGATGGCCACGATCTGCCCAGTGTCTTTGTTTCTGCACTTGAAGACGACGCCGTAGGAGCCCTCTCCGATCTTTCCAATCTTCTCGTACTTCTCCATTCTCAGGCTGCACCAGCAGATATCCAGAAGGTAAAAACACTTTTCCAGGGAGGGTCCCAGGAGGCGGGACTGTCTCTGCGGAGGAGACACAGGAGGGGTGCTCAGCAAAGACAAACACACAGGGAGAGGAAGAGTAATTTGACCACCTGGTGCTTTTATGAACAGTTCACTCAATTAAAGCTGGAATAAATTCAATTTAAGGATCAAAGGTGGGTCAGAACTGTGTGATATGTGGGCTGGGTCTTTAATGGAAGAGATACAACAATGCTTTTCTAAAACATAAAACAGATGTTGGTTTATTTTGGTGGCTTTTCATGTTGTGATATCAGACATTTTGATTGACCTCTGCATCACTAACAAGAGAGCCAACGGCACAGAAATGTGTCATGCATAATTATCTGAAAAGCACACTAAAGAATTTACATGCATTGATTTTAATCACAAAATATGCTCAAATTGTGTTTTAACCTCTTGGATATGGGGGGTCAAAATGTTAAAATAACCTCTTTAAACTGCCTGCAAAAGATAGATTTAATTGTTTAGAGGCAACATTACACCTGTCTCCCAACAGTTAGATTGCGTAACGACAACATTTGCAATGCAAAGTATATTAAGTCATTTCCCTGAGGGGACAGAGAGCGAAAACAGACGACAGAGGAAACAGCCAGGGGAATAAAATCAAAGTGCTGCACTTATAAACAGACTTACGAGGAAAACATTACATAATAACACAAACTGAGAATGAACAGCTCAGGATGCATGTTTAGAACTCACATTAGAGGCTTTTTACGCGGTGCAGCAGCAGTTCATACAACCCTGAAAGTTGCCTCATGGAAGCAGCTGATCGCAAAAGTAAACACGTTTCAGTATTTCTATGAGCAATTACAGCATTTAAAAACGCTTCCGGTTCAGGTCCGAACTTACTTTGAGTGAAAGTGTGATGAGGTGAGAAATGTTCAGTCAGCTGAGGAGCTGCAGCTTCTTCCAAACACCACACAAGCCGGAGGATCGCAGCTCAACTGTCCCTGCACAGCTCCGAGCAGGCGGTTTTTAAAGCGTCAAGTCAGAGAGTGTAAACCGAGACACCCTTCAAAATAAAACACACGCGTCACTTCCTTTAGTTCCATGTTTTGAGTACAATAATAATACAATAATACAATAATAAGAGACTTTTATTGCTCTTTTAATTGTACCGTTGAGCTCCTGATTGTATATCAATGGTTTTGTTGTTCTGCAGTGAATAACGTAATAAGTAAAAGCAATGATATACAGTGTAGACATACTCTATTACAGGTAAGTAACGCCTTCAAAATGTGACTGAAGTAAAAGTAAACCTGCACTGACATTAAAATATACTTAAAGTACTTATTATAATGTATAATGTATAACATATTAATGGATTATGATTATTGATTCATTGCTGTTTTCATCATTTAAATGCTGAAGCTGGTAAAGGTGAAGCTAATTTAAAAGACTATATACAGCCGGGGATATTAACCTAATAATAATAATTCAAGAAAAATAAAAAGTTAGTCAAAATAAAAAATAATTATGTTCTCAGTGTGTCAAAATATGGACAAAATGGTCAAAATTATGATTTAGAAACATAACATTTGGCCTCTTAAATCAAAGTTATGAGATAAAAAGTCGAAATTAGGACTTAAGCAGTAAAATATGTGTGTTTTTATCTCTATGACCTGGATTGTATGTCATATTTTTGTTTATAATTTTGCCTTAATAAACCAAAACCAAAAAAAAAACCTCAGTATCACATCATTTTGAGTAAAACAGTAATAATGATACAAGTACAACAGCTAGTGGTAATATAAATAGTAATGTGTATTTATATATACGCCTTTCTTAACCCCTTTACAAGCTATTTGGTGCATGAGGCCAAAAGACAAAATAAAATTGTTTAATTTTAAATTAAAATAAAAAAGCAGCTGCCAGACTTTTAACCAGAACCAGCCGTCGGTCCCACATTACTCCTGTTCTCGCATCCCTTCATTGGCTTCCTGTAAAATTCAGAATCAATTATAAGATCTTACTGATTACATATAAGGCACTTCATGACCTTGCCCCCAGTTACATTTCAGATCTCCTTGTTCCTCATTCCACTCCTCGGCCACTTCGCTCCTCAAATTTGGCCTTTTATCCATTCCTCGTGCTAACTGTAAAACTAAAGGTGACCTTTGCTGTTTTAGCCCCAACATTGTGGAATAGTCTTCCCCAATCACTCAGATTCACTGATCTAATCTGTTTTAAGCGGCTCCTCAAAACCACCTCTACAAGCAAAGCCTTTTTATAGATCTCCTTGTTTGTTTTCTCATCTGTCGTCTTTCTTTTAATTTATCCTTTTCTCGTTTTATTTTCCTTATGTTTGTATTCACATGCTCCCACTTTGGATCTCTGTGTCAAAAAGGTGCTATATAAATAAAGCTTTACTTACTTACTTAACTCCAAACCTGATGTTAAACTTTAGACACAAATATGGTAATATGTTTTTTTTCCTTGCTGCTTTTCATTTTTTAAGTTTAAGTTTAAAAACATGTGTTTACAGTTGTGTTACGCTTGTTGCTAAAATAAGCAGTTGGATGCCCTCCCAAACTTTACAACAGCTTTTTTGGGAGTTCTGGCATAACAGAGGAAAAGAGGTGATAAAAAGGAGGTAATAAAATCACAACTTAATAAAAATAAACTAACCGTATGATCTATTTTTTGTAAATCAGATAATTCTTCCTCTGGCACTATTTTATTTTTATTTGGAAGCTGAAATCACCTGACCGGTACAACCCACAGACTCTCACTCTTTGCAACTTGACACATTTCTTCCTTTTCCACTGCAGTTCCCATAGGAACAGCTGACTCCACCTTCACCTCCATGAAATAAGGAAAAGCAGCCTCCTGTGGGTTGTTTTTGTAGATTTTCACATCTGACACACTGAGTGTCAGAGATGTGTTTAAAAATAAAGCCGCAGGTAAACTACAGTGAACACCAGGAAAACATCCACACAGGTAAACAACTCGGTGTGTTCTCAAAGGGGAATTCACTGACACTCCCTTCCTCAAAATCCTAAAATCACCACACATCTAAAACCACTTTTAGTTAGTTGTAAACGTTTATTACTATTATTTTCTTATACTCAGGGGGGGCATTTTATGTTTTTCTGCACATCAAAACAACCAAATCCACATCTGTCTGACATCCCTCCACATACGTCAGGGAGAACAGGGAGATCTAAACCTGACATGTTGTCTTGTTGCACTGAGACCAATTAGAGCGAGTTGGTGAAGTCAGAGGAATGACAGAGGGAAATAATGGAAACGAATACTCACTCTTTCCTCCGTTCCTCCCTTCAGAGACTCATCATCACTGAGTAGTAACTCATCAGCTCTGCTTAATCAATCTAAACTCTCGACGACACAAAAATAAACCAGTCACGTCATCTTGTTAACAGCTTTTTTTATTACAAAAACAGCATACATTAAACATTTTGCGAAGGGAATGCAAAGATGTTAACAAAAACCTAGCATCGTCCCTCATTTTGTCATTTTATTTTAAATTAAAAAAATGTACAAAAGTGCTTACATGGTGCAAATAATGAGAAGTAAAAGTCTATAAAAGAGGAAGGTAAAGAAAAAAAAAAAGAGGAAAAAATGTACATTATATCCAACTTCTAAAAATGCAGCAGAGCAGGAGAGATGCGACTATATTACATAGCAGTAAAAATAACCCAAAGCTGCTCAGGAACTGTTCACTAGGTAGTTAATCCTCACACAGCAGGACTGCACTGTCGCTGTCTGCTAACACCATCTGTAAATCAAACATACCCTATCACTTAACATGAGATTAATAAATATTGCTTAAATAACCCACAATGCTCGTGGGTTTCGGTTTTTAAACTGATCTATTAGTTGGACTACAAAATCTCCTCTTGTGCCAGGTTTGCCTCTGGCGGTGATTATGAGCGACATGTTACAGACAATAACACAATAAATCTCCCGTTGTTTGCTAATACAATCACAAATTCTTGTGAATTTTAATGGCACTTTTTGTCAATAATACCTCTAGATAACTCGTTTGTAACTCAGTCCACAGTACAGAAAAGTGAGAAAAATGCTAAGTAACATTGTTCATTTGAGCTTTTTATTATTTCTCCACCTTCTGCTCGTAACAGTTTCCTTGTCATTTCCTAACAAGCGGAGACACAGTGAACGTGTTGCTGGTGTAAGGCTACTCATGAATCCAGACTGAAGAGCCTCCTCTTTTACTGACCTGTCGATCCCAAGTTCAGTAACAAAAAACGGTTTTAAACCAGACGTTTCCCTTGACACAGGACCGTAGGTGAAAGTCTGGAGTTTTCTCCCAAAATTGAGGCTTTTTCTAGAAAAACAAAAACAAAAAAAAAAACATCCCGTCTATGGAAGAGGCTCAGTAACTGTTCTCATGACCGGCTAAAATGTAGAGGTTGCTCAGGGCCGTGGGGTTGTCTGTGGGTCGGCTCTCCAGAACCACCACCCTGCAACACAAACAGGGACACGACAGTTAGAACATGACACAGAAATAATAAATGCTAGTTGTGGTACCTGGTGGGACGTTACCAAAGTGTCAGTCTGACAACTCAAGAACTGAATTAAGGAAATAAATTCACTTTCTTGCTGAGAGTTAGGTGAGAAGATTGTCACCTTGTGTCAGTGTGGTGGAAGTATTAGCAGCCAGTTAACTTAGCTTAGCATAAAGACTGGACAAACGAGAGGAAGCAGCTAGCCTTGTTCTGTCTAATGCTGAATAATTAACACGCTGAATCTCGTTTGTACACAATCAGCAATGAAAAGCACAACTTGTTGTTTTACACTCTGATGTCTATACGGATTAAACAGGGATTTAACACGATGTAACGGCATCGATCTTCATCCAACTATCAGCAAGAAAGAGGATGAGTGCATTTCCTCAAAATACCAAACTATTCCTTTAATACTGACCATTTTCAACCCATCCCAGTGTTTTAGAAACACTTTTTGTCTACCTACCAGGCAGCCGTTGGTTTCAGTGGTTTTCAAGACACAAATTAGACCACGGACCCCCAATTTTAAATCCTTATACATACGATTTCATCCAGGGTCCCCCATCTGATAGAATCTTTACTTTTTGATGTTTTATTCTATTAAGTGTATGAAACCTGTGACAAAAATAATAATTCATTCTGTCATTGGGTAACTTATAGCTGGAATATTAGGGAAAATACATTATTTTCCTCTTGTGGGGACCCCATGAAACCCTTTCAAGGACCCCTGAGGGTCCCCAGACTCCACTTTGAAACCACTGAGTTATGTCATCCTAACTTTGTATGTAGATTAATGGAAAACAATGGCTGCCGGGACAGTAGAAAACAGTAGAGTGACGTGAATTATGTTTTCTAGTTTGATCCTTTAAATTTGCCAAACAAATCTCTCTCCAGGAGAAAATACCACTTCTGTCACTAACTTATTTTTAGTAAGTATGAGTAAGCAACGCCGCTAATTGAACTACACTTACAACAAATGACAATCATGTTAATGGCATCAATCTACTCAGGAGACAGAGTGCTGACAGTTCATGTTAAACTGCACGTTAACCGTCCTGATATAGCTGTCACAGTCAGATCAGGACGGCAGCGGGTGCATCTTCAAATGCCATCCTCTCGTCTCGTGGCGGTGACAGGTGAGCAGGGAAGCTACAGTCCATACTGTCCGTTCCATCAGATGAAATTACAGAGGCATGGAGAGACACTCAAACCAGGCTGGCAGTGCCCGGGCAGCAGTGAATAAAACATGGGGGGCTGGGCAGAGAGAGGCCTCGCTCCGGTGCCACGGACAGGACGGCTACATCAGGAGCCAGTGCTGGGAGAGCCTCCGTCATTGAGTGAGAGTGTGTATGTGTGTGTGTGTGTGTGAGAGAGGTGGGGAGCTAAATCACATCCTGCTGTGTCTGCAGCAGAAACCATCATGACATCAGTCCAGAATTAAAAAAGATGTCAATAAAGCAAATAATCTGCAGATTAATCGATATTGAAACTAATCGTAGCTGCACAAATTGACAGTATGTAATCAGTGGACAGAGCGTCTGGGTCTGTGAATTGAAGCCAATGGGAAAATGTATCTTATGCTTAAAAGACGTCAGCTAAAATGGAGTCTTATGGGGAAATGATCGTGCATCTGACTTGACAGTGTCCTAATGTGTTTATAGTCTCAATCGCTAGTTTCAAGTCTTCTTCCACAGGATTTAGAGCTAAAACAATTAGTAAATTCATCCACTGGTTTACTAACAAAAAACCAGTGGCAACTATCAATTCATAATTTAAGTCATTTTTTCCAGGCAAAAATAGCAAACATCCCCTTGTTCCACTTTGTCTAATGTGAAGATCTGATACTGATACGATAGTAAACTGATTCATTTGGGTTTTAGACGACTGGTCTGATATCACACTGGGCTTACCAAGTTATAAAGGGCATTTCTCTCTTTTTGACATTATTATACGATATTAAATACACTAAACACTTAATGATGTACTCAACAAAAAGAAAGATTTAATAATATAATCTTCAAAAAGTATTTGATTCTTCAACATGTTGGCAAGGGGGGCTCGAGCAGCGCTCTGCTGTATTTCATCAGACAGGTTTGTAAATGTTAGTGACATTAACATTTTGCTTGGCTTTCATGTCTCAGCCACCAGAGCTACTGAGGCGGCAAACATGAAACAGAGAGAGAGAGAGAG